ATCTGAAGTTGAAATTGAACAGATGATGTAAATAAAACTATTTTTCGTCTTTGTTATGATGTGCAGTGATCCTTCATTGTAGTATGATCAGATATTTTATAAATGATAATGTATTTTCTTTTACATGCATCCTCCATGGTGATAAAATGATGGAGGATTTCCTGAGCGTCAGTCAGTAAATGGTACAGGCTCACAGTAATGCCTGTTTCCCTTCAACACATTATTTTCTGCTCTCTGAAACAGACATGCAATTTAAACACAGTGAGAGCTGAAAAGTGGTCCCTCAATAGTGTTTAATCTGTCAGATAGTTTACAGATTTTTATCTTTACGGTCAATTTGTCATTACATTTCATTTAGCTGACGCTTTTATCCAAAGCGACTGACAATTACCAATTACAGGGACATTCTCCCTGTAGTAACTAAGGACTAAGTGCCTTAGGGCAGTGGTTCCCAAACGGTGTGCCGTGGGATTTTGTGACAACCATACATTATTATTGCAATATACAACTACAAAAAAAATAATTACTTTTTAATTTACGATATCAGTACTTTGTAGGTTTATATGTACGTAACCTGTGCGACTTGTGCGTCCACATCTCCACGTGCAGTGCTGCATAAACATGGCTGAGTCAGCGATAACTTTCGAGGGGTGGAGGTCAGTAGCGTGGCGTGGGGAAAAATGTAGGGGAAGCCCAATAACGTAACCAGATGAGTGATTACAGCGCCCGGTATCATTTTACACACATGTGTATCACACAGATGCAGGACTTGCACACGCCTGTTATCTAACCGAAAGCTCCGCACGCACTCTCCAGCTGAAATTAATTTAAGCATATTACTTATTAATGTATGCAGACAATAACACAATCTATGTGATTTTTGGATTTACCGTGCCTTTCAATTGCCCGTGACAGGTTGGCAAGGTCGATGAATCCTGAAGTTGCCCAAGGATTGTTCAGGGAGCACGAATCCTTGTCAAAGAGAAGACATGGCCAGCAAAATAGACGCTGAAGTTTAGCGCTTCCAGTTAGCCACTCCGTGCGGACATAATTATCCTCATTGAACGTCCGATTCTCTCCCTTTTTCCTCTGTGTACACACAGCTCGAGTGTGGGCATTGGCCTGTCATCTGATTTAATTTTTAGTTGCTGCTGTAGCGGAAGTTTAGTAAAGTTATGTTTGATTAAGTACGCCAAATCTCCACCCTCCATAATGCTTCATTTGCTTGATAATTTCTAACGGCGGTGATGACAGTATTAAAACTGATGTTGATGTGATTTGATTGGATGGCAGTGTCCAATCAAATCGCCAGCCGCCAGCCGCCTCTGAAGGGAAGCAAGAGGCGGCTGGCTTCCCTTGGCATGGCCCTGACCAATCACAGGTTGGCAGGGGCATCACGTGGGCCTCATCGGATTGGTCAATCCCTCAATTTTTTTTCACCAAGGGAAGACAGATTCGGCTGGCCTCCTCTCGCAACAGTGAGTGCAATCTACTGTTTCACCATAACATCTAGAGGGGCGCTGTTTGTTTCACTCTTTGTAAAATAATCAATGAGAATGGGGGAGAGACGGGCCGGCAGCAACACACAGCAAAGGAGAATTAGCGAAACAAAACGAAGTGTTTTTATTTATTTATTTAAATTATAACTACAATCCGAAAAAACAAGGGAAGCCTGGCTTCCCTTGGCCTCCGGGAGAAAACGCCACTGGTGGAGGTATGCCCATTATTTTGAGTTCGTCCGAAGAATAGACAGGAATGTGACGGTGAGGTGCAAACTGTGTCCAGGCCAGAAGCTGTTATCCACTGCTGGAAACACCACGTCAAACCTCAACAAACACCTGCAAAGAACACATGCTAAGGTGAAGCTAACGCACACGCCATTTGTTGTTTGTTTATATCACGTTGTCTGTTCTTCTTCTCTGTCTTCCGGTTGTGGTCTGTTTTGAATGACAAATACACACTACCGCCGCCTGCTGGTAAGGAACGTTATTGCCACTCACGCATGCGTGTACGTGCTCGGCGAGTAAAGTAACGAGTTACTTTATGTAGATAGTAACGAAGTAGTGTAATATATTGCTTTTTTTAAAGTAATATGTAATATATTACATTTTTTTAGTAACGACCCCATCTCTGGAGTTGGTGTTCTCTACTCTGATTTACATGAAGAACCTGATTTACATGAAGAACAACAGGAGGTCACGGCTCTGTTGAACAGGACTTGCCATGTGCCCCGACGGGCACATGTATCTCACTAATTTGTAAATCGGCAAAATATTTACAATAGCACATGTTTCAATGCTGATTGCTGAAATGTTACATTTATAATTTGTAGTTCAGGACCATGGACAATGCAGCTTCCTTGCATTGACAGTTCTCTGTGCTGAATTTCTGCTGAGTTTCCTTTGCCTCATTTTTTATTTTGTGACCTGTCTGGTTTAAATGAGTGTGTTGCTGCTTTGATGAAGCCTAATTTGATAAAGTTTCAAATTAATTTCTGAAATATTTCATGAGTAATATAGTTGTCTTTGTCACATTTTATTTTGCATTAGTAAATAATTATGCACATTTACAGATATTTTACATGATATGAGTGATAACACGTGTTATAAGGGCTATTTTGCACAATAGGTGTGCCTTGAGATTTTTACTTGACCTTTGGTGTGCCTTGGGCACAAAAAGTTTGGGAACCACTGCCTTAGGGCACACTGTGGTGGTGTTCCTGGCGGGATTTTGAACTCACAACCTTCCGATCTTCAGCACCTATCCATTAGACCACCACTATCATCTTGTACATTAGACCACCACTATCATCTTGTATATTTTCTACTCTTTAGTTCAGTTTTAATTTTGAAGTGTTTCTATTTTATAATTGTTTATTTTCTACTCTTTAGTTTCTAATTATGTGCAATGCCTTGTTTATGCTGCTGTAACGAAAACATTTCCCCATTTGAGATAAATAAATATACCTTATCGTAGACTTAATGCGTCCATAGGCTATTTACAAACACGCGGTTGTTACATGGGTAACGTGTAGGCAAAGTGTTTCATAGAGAAGAATAATTTAGGATTAAGATCAACCTTTTTGTAACTCACGAGGGGATATTCCGTTTTTCACTCAGTTGTTATTTTACAATAAAGAAATACAGACGCCATAGGTCTACTCAATTGTAATAGCCTACTTATTGCAGACTAAAAGTCCTGCAATTAAATATTACACGTAAAATAAAAGTAAAAGTACACGTATGATGTATCTCAAAATGGTACTTAGGCTAAGTACAGTAGGCTATACTTGAGAATGCAGTTTAGTTGCTTTACACCACTGGATTTCTAACGGGTTTTTTTAGACAGACAGCTGTGAAGTCGGCAACGGTGCTCTGTCAGAAGGCACCAGTAACTCATGGATGGAAGCAGGGTCGGCGTCATGGGGGGTCATTCGCGGGCCATGCCCCCCCAAATGAGTCACTGTGCCCCCCCAACGCAGGGTGGGCAAGCCTTGCCACTTTGCCGTTTAAAAAAAAAAATCATATAAGTAAAAACGTTTCCACTAAATGTTTTTTGTGTGAAATACGTCAGAAATAAAGAATACAAATATAAAACACAGCCTGAGCTGTGCTCACTGCTGCTCTCTGATTGGTGTGTTGCTTGACCAATGATCCCCGACTCTTTTTTTTTGTTATCATTACGTGGCTGTGTGTTTAGATGAAAGCCCGGTGGCGATCTGTTCATCTGTTACACTGATTATACAGTAAAGCCATCAAAAATAATATGATATACAGTACAGTACAAGTAGCCTACTTCTGGGTCTCTGTGTTTCATTCAAGCTCGGCTCTGTGTGTGTGTGGCACGAGCGTATTTTGTGAGTGCGCGAGCGGTAACGTGGAATGTTGTTGTTAGCATCTGGTTAGCTAGCTATGCTAACGGATATAAAGAGCTGTTTCTACACCAAGGTGGAGGAGAGTTCTCTCCTGTCAGACTGAGAGGATCGTATAACGTCAGCTCAGTGAGGTAAGGACTCTCTCAGTGTTTAGATAGTTCACTTTAGTGTAAGTTATCTCAGTGGGTCTCAAACGGTTTGGTCACCATTTATGTAAACAAGTATTTGCGAGGAACACCTTTATATGATCATTATAGTTATTAAAAAATAAGAGAATAAATGAAAAACGGGTATGAAATACTATAGGACAGTAACACAAGAATACAGTTTAAAAGGGGAGTGATTAGTAAAATATCCATAAAGAAAAAGTAAATCTGTGTACAGCTCTGTTTCATTTGGATGCTGAGAGATGTAGGCTATCCATAGATCTCTTCATTTTGCTCTCAAAGTGCACCAGATTGATGCATTTAACTTCAATATTTTAAAAATAATGTTCCCGGAGGAGCATGCCCCCGGACCCTCCTAGAGGAGGTTAGGTCCACCCCCACCTAAAACATGTTCACATGGATAGGATACTAAATACATTTGCACACTTTTTATATCGTGGCCTATGTCCATATGTTTCTGTGTTGGTGGTTGTGCCACAACAGTGCATGCATGCACAAGTCATGGTGCGCTATAAAATAGCACATACACCCCTGCAATGTGTGTGAAAGACAATAGACTTTACAGCATGTTTTTGAAGTTGCGTTGGTGTTTGTTTGTTGGTTGTTGACGGCAGTGTGTGCCCCCCCTTGGTAAATGATTGCCCCTCCATTCGATTTGTTCTAGAGCCGACCCTGGATGGAAGCACTCAATAGCATCCTTGCAAAACATACAAAATGGTACATGGATACTGAGATAGGATTTAAGTGAGGGATAACGACCGATAACGACTAGTACTTCTTCCACCTCTGGATATTTGGGTTACTCAGACACTCAGACACTCAGTCACTCAGACATTTATTGTTCACATTCCGATACAGCAGGTGGCAGGAGAGCTCGGGGGATTGTAGCGCGCGAAAACTAAAGAACAAGTGACGTATAATTCCTGCGACTCTCAAGGTATAAATACTGCGCCATCGCGACTTGACTGTCTCTTTTGAAATCGGCAGAAGGTCGAAGAAGTGTCCAGGTCCCTGGTTGGTTTGCTTAAATGTGTTGAGAGCGAGTAAATATAAACATTACTAAGTGTTTCGGCAACATGTAAGTGTAGCTTTAGTTTGTGATTCTAGTTAAGTCGTAGTGTTTAAAGCTGAATAGTCACGTTAGCATTTCCGCGATGGGCCCCAAGCAGCCACGTGGAGAACACTGCGATGGACTGTATGAAAGACAAAGTGAAACATGGTAATTTATCTCACACTAGTTAAGAATTCTCATTTAACTGCAAACATGTAAATGTTCCTTCCTTTGATCGATGTATTTCCACAAGTCGTGAAGACAACTAAAAAGTGATGCTCACGGATGTGGTTGCCAAAAATGAAATGGAATTTATAGTTAAATATGCACCCTTTTTTTTATATCAATGATAAACTTGCCATTTGTTCCTTTTATCGTTATCGTTTAGAAAGTAGAATTGCCAGAGTTGCGATACTCCAACCTTTAAACTTTGACTCAGTCTACACCAAAGTTACTAGCTGGTTCTCTATCAGCCTGTATTTGCTTAATTGAAGCTATATTTGGATATGATTTTAGTATACCCATCTTTAATGGTTAATAGTGATGGAAACTTAAGACATATCTCCCCTTTTCATCCAAAATGGGTGATTTAAGTTTATTCATTTTTGTAAACTTTCCTAACTAATATCTTAACTTGCACAAGATCACATTTACATTTTGCCTGTACACCTGAATAGTCACGATTACTAATTTTAACTATCAATGTCTTGTTATTTCTCCAGGTGGCCCTCACTCTGGTGGCTCTTTGAACTCAATGATGGACAAGTGGAGACTGAGGTTGGTTTAATGTTCAGTTTAATTGCCTTGCCCGTAAAATGTAGTGATGGCTGGAATTACCAGCAGATTGTTTAGTGGTGACCATCAGTTTTCTGAACATTTGATCATAAATAATGTACCTATTTGGTCTTAATGTCACTTGACTAATTACTACCTTGTTCCATTATGTAGATGACAACCTTATGAGCTGCCTGTGATGCCATGGATTGTCCCTCCTCTTCCCAACTAAACCAGCTGACTGGACAGACTCATTCCTTGCAGGTGAATATACATTCATCATAAAACAAACTGTCTGCTTCTGTCGTGATGAATCTAAAACTGAAATAGCTGGAATTACCGTCAGATTGTTAGTGGTGATGATCGGTTTTCTGAACATTGAGGATGCAGTTATGAAACATGATTTAAGAAAGCCTTGACTAATGACATTCAACCTAATTTCCCTCTGTAGCAAAACGCCTGAGCCGCCCTAAGATGTGCTGTAGTCATGCATTGATTCAAAAACATCCAACCCAACAGCTGACGAAGAACACTCACTTTGTGCAGGTAAAAGTCCATTGTCTGTCATAAAAAGAAACTGTCTGCTTCTGTTGTGATGAATCTAAAACTGAAACACTTTGTGCAGGTAAAAGTCCATTGTCTGTCATAAAAAGAAACTGTCTGCTTCTGTTGTGATGAATCTAAAACTGAAATAGCTGGAATTACCGTCAGATTGTTAGTGGTGATGATCGGTTTTCTGAACATTGAGGATGCAGATATAAAACATGATTTGAAAAAGGCTTGACTAATGACATTCAACCTAATTTCCCTCTGTAGCAAAACGCCTGTGAGCTGCCATAAGATGTGCTGTAGTCATGATGGGCTGGTTAAGCATCCAACTCAACCAGCTGACGAAGAACACTCACTTTGTGCAGGTAAAAGTCCATTGTCTGTCATTAAAAAGAAACTGTCTGCTTCTGTTGTGATGAATCCAAAACTGAAATAGCTGGAATTACCGTCAGATTGTTAGTGGTGATGATCGGTTTTCTGAACATTAATGATGCAGTTATGAAACTTCATGGGGGGAAAAAGACTGGATTAATAACATTAAACCCATTTCCACATTGTTTCCTTTAGAAAAAAACCTGTGAGCTGCCCTAAGATGTGCTGTAGTCATGCAGTGCTGCACATACTTCCAACCCAACCAGCTGACGAAGAACACTCACTTTGTGCAGGTAAAAGTCCATTGTCTGTCATTAAAAACCAACCTGTCTGCTTCTGTTGTGATGAATCTAAAACTGAAATAGCTGGAATTACCATCAGATTGTTAGTGGTGATGATCGGTTTTCTGAACATTGAGGATGCAGTTATGTAACTTGATGGAAACTGGATTAATGGCATTTAACTAATTTGAACCTCGTTTCCCTCTGTAGGAAAACCTGTGAGCTGCCATAAGATGTGCTGCACATACTTCCAACCAACCAACCAGCTGACAGAAGAACACTCACTTTGTGCAGGTAAAAGTCCATTGTCTGTCATTAAAAAGAAACTGTCTGCTTCTGTTGTGATGAATCTAAAACTGAAATAGCTGGAATTACCGTCAGATTGTTAGTGGTGATGATCGGTTTTCTGAACATTAATGATGCAGTTATGAAACTTCATGGGGGGAAAAAGACTGGATTAATAACATTAAACCCATTTCCACATTGTTTCCTTTAGAAAAAGGCCGTGAGCTGCCATAAGATGTGCTGTAGTCACGCAGTGCTGCACATACTTCCAACTGAACCAGCTGACTCAAGAACATGAATTTTGTGCAGGTAAAAATTGCGTTGTTTATAAACATAAACTGTCTGCTTCTGTTGTGATGAATCTAAAACTGAAATAGCTGGAATTACCGTCAGATTGTTAGTGGTGATAATCGGTTTTCTGAACATTGAGGATGCAGATATAAAACATGATTTGAAAAAGGCTTGACTAATGACATTCAACCTAATTTCCCTCTGTAGCAAAACGCCTGTGAGCTGCCATAAGATGTGCTGTAGTCATGCATTGCTGGTTAAGCATCCAACCCAACCAGCTGACAGAAGAACACTCACTTTGTGCAGGTAAAAGTCCATTGTCTGTCATTAAAAACAAACTGTCTGCTTCTGTTGTGATGAATCCAAAACTGAAATAGCTGGAATTACCGTCAGATTGTTAGTGGTGATGATCGGTTTTCTGAACATTAATGATGCAGTTATAAAACTTCATGGGGAGAAAAAAAAGACTGGCTTTATAACATATAACCCATTTCCACATTGTTTCCTTTAGAAAAAGGCCGTGAGCTGCCATAAGATGTGCTGTAGTCATGCAGTGCTGCACATACTTCCAGCCAACTAGCTGACGAGGAACATCAATTTTGTTCAGGTAAAATTGCGTTGTTTATAAACATAAACTGTCTGCTTCTGTTGTGATGAATCTAAAACTGAAATAGCTGGAATTACCATCAGATTGTTAGTGGTGATGATCGGTTTTCTGAACATTAATGATGCAGTTATGAAACTTCATGGGGGGAAAAAGACTGGATTAATAACATAGAACCCATTTACACATTGTTTCCTTTAGAAAAAGGCCGTGAGCTGCCATAAGATGTGCTGTAGTCACGCAGTGCTGCACATACTTCCAACTGAACCAGCTGACAGAAGAACATCAATTTTGTTCAGGTAAAATTGCGTTGTTTATAAACATAAATTGTCTGCTTCTGTTGTGATGAATCTAAAACTGAAATAGCTGGAATTACCATCAGATTGTTAGTGGTGATGATCGGTTTTCTGAACATTGAGGATGCAGTTATGTAACTTGATGGAAACTGGATTAATGGCATTTAACTCATTTGAACCTCGTTTCCCTCTGTAGGAAAACCTGTGAGCTGCCATAAGATGTGCTGCACATACTTCCAACCAACCAGCTGACGAAGAACACTCACTTTGTGCAGGTAAAAGTCCATTGTCTGTCATAAAAACAAACTGTCTGCTTCTGTTGTGATGAATCTAAAACTGAAATAGCTGGAATTACCGTCAGATTGTTAGTGGTGATGATCGGTTTTCTGAACATTAATGATGCAGTTATAAAACATGATTTGAAAAAGGCTTGACTAATGACATTCAACCTAATTTCCCTCTGTAGCGAAAGGCCTGTGAGCTGCCATAAGATGTGCTGTAGTCATGATGTGCTGGTTAAGCATCCAACCCAACCAGCTGACTGAAGAACACTCACTTTGTGCAGGTAAAAGTGCATTGTCTGTCAAAACAAACCACTGTCTGCTTCTAGGGATGCACGATAATTATAGGCCCGATATTAGGAATTATGACGTCATCCCGATAAACCCGATACCAGTATTAATAGCCCCGATAATATACAATATATTTTTTGGGTAAAAAAATACTGCGGTGTGGGTGGATTGGGATGAGGGGCGCTTGTTTTTCACTCGGCTCCTACCGTTTTGCCAGTACTGTGGTATTAGTGGTTTAGGAAGAGGGGAGTTTTTCACAAATCCAGCGCTCCCTAACTCGTGCCTGGCTGTGACGTAAATGGTGTGCGGCCGTGAAGCCAGGACAGTGAACAAACATGTCGTCGGTGGTATGGGCGTTGGAGCTATGTGCAACTCAAGGCATATGCTCGAACCGGAGCTGCCTGGACGCTGCAATCATGTTGCGCACTATCCGTGCTGAGTGTGCTGACTTTTCGTACAATGTCCCACTGTCTGGCTTCCTGCATAAAGTCAAGTGCCCTCTGTTTTCATTTAAACAGCTCCTTATATCCGTTAGCGCAGCTAGCTAGCACCAGATGCTAACAACAACAATGCACGTAAGGTCTCTTTCTCGCTCGGGCCACACATACACACACCCTCCCGGTCCTCCCAATAGCCAGTCGGTGCCTGCCGGTGAGCGTGGAAGTGTGGTCTGCCACAAGCGGGCGGCAGGAGCTGGGCTGTCAGCATCATCTTGTAGATGGTATTTTAAACTCGATGCGCTCTGAAACTACGGGGCGGCCAAGGAAAAAAAATACACATGCGTTAAAATAATTAGTGGCGTAAACATTTTTTTATTATCGGTCTTGAGAAGCAGGAAGTTATCGGTTTCAAAACCAATATCGTGCATCCCTATCTGCTTCTGTTCCGATGAATCTAAAACTGGAATTACTGGCAGATTGTTGAGTGGATCTGCTCATGACACAATCTGTTCTGCAAGTTTGTCAAGTGTCCTTTAGAGAAGCTTTGTGTGAAATATGATGTAGAAATGTGTCATACCTTGCTGGGGTTTGTTCAGCATCCAAGATTGATTCCCCTGACTTAATTTATACTCCTTACATATACCATAAGGGCTTGACTAGACTTGCTGGGATGTACAAAGACAAATGGTTAATGCACACAGATAATAAACGGAGTTTAGCTGATTGCTGACAAAGTAGTAACTATAGCTGTGCTAAACTGTTACAACCACAGCATTTGCTTTTCTTTGCACTTATCAAATGTCTTCTCTTTCAGATGATCGTGGGACTCATGGACACTGATCTGAAGGAGAACTTGTTTGTTTGAGAAACAGTTCACATTGTAAAAAGACACTGATCCATTGAAATAAAGTCCCAACTGCCTGATAACTGGAACTAGTGGTGTCTTTTGTTGGGTCTGTATCACATCAAAGCAATATCTAAACACGACTATTTTATATAATGTACTAAACTAAAACCACTTGCCGATCTCTTGCAACCTTGAGAAATGCACTAGACCAGGGGTTCCCAAACTTTGCCATGCCAAGGTCCCCCATATAGCATTAGCCTCTGGCGGGGACCCCCCTGTTGCAATTGTTTTTTTAAATGATGTGTACAAGTGCCTCCCGATGGAACATGCAGTACGTTGCCACTACATTTGGGGCCTTCTGCCTGATCGAAGCTGTCACTCCGCTTTCTTTGCCTGTCACACAACGAGAAGTCCATTTGAGATGATGTACTCATCTAAAACTTGGAAAGTGTCTCTTCGTGTGGTCCTACCTTCCAGTGCTTTGCAAAATAATATTTCCTCAACAAAGTTGTCTTCTGAAATAAATCTGATGTATGCAAGCAATTCTGCGACATTTGCTACATCCGTGCTCTCATCCAGCTGCAGAGCGAAACATTCACTTGCTCCAAAAGCTGAGCAGATTTTCACTCGCAGTAGCGGCAGCTCGATTCTGATTGGTTTGAAGGGCGGTCGTGTGATTCAAAAACTAAAAATATGGAAAGATTGGCATCAAAGGACACAGATTGATAGATATGCAGTTATTAATAACTAGGGCCGGGACTTTAACGCGTTAATTAAGATTAATTAATTACACAAAAATTAACGCATTTTAATCGCACTTATTTTTGCACCGCGGAACGTTTCTCACTGGATGAGTTTCAGGCGTACCGATTATACTGGAGCACCAACTAACGTTCATGACTTCAGACAACAACAAACCACGGAACAACAGTGGGAAATGTTGTTTTAAAAAACGGACGGATGGAAGCGTCGATAAGAGCACGGTTGTGTACAAATTATGCAAAAAGGAATTCGCATATCACCGCAGCACATCAAGCCTCAAGTATCACCTCAATGCAAAACATATAGCAGCTAGCGTGGACGTTAGCCTCTTTTATCGCGTTCACACCAAAAAGAGCCGGTACTAAAATTAGTTCATGAGAACCTTTTTACCCCCACGAAAGTCCCTGCTAGAGAGCAGAGAGCTGCTAGAGAGCAGGGACTTTCGTACGGCTCTCTTGTGAGAAAAGAGCTATATTTCTGATTGGCTGGGCGGATTGCAAACCACGCCCCGTAAAACTCCCAAAAAGTTTTGTGAAGCCGCCATTTTATTATCCTCGCATTAGCATTATTAGCATTAGCATTATCCCAGCGCAGAAACGCAGAGAGACTAACTTATGAAAACACAAAATAAAACATGGGAGCGGTGGAGATGAGGAGGTGTCGACGTTCTGGCGATTTACTCAGAAGGCTTCAGTAGAAGCTGCTGGGACTCCCAGCAGCTTCTACTGAAGCCAGTCCCCAACTCCGGGGACTTCCGGCCGGGGACTTTGGGCGGCAGTATACGCCGTGAAGTGGTTTGCGGCCTGCCAGTAAATCCAAAGCAGAAGAAGTGACGTCAGCGGCTTCATTTGCCTAATCCTCCCCCAGGTTCAAAGAGTTCTCATGAACCTTTGTGGGAAAAGTACTGCGGTGTGAATGCGCCTAATGGTATACTAAAATCCATGTGAAAAAAATTGCTTCTCACTGTTCTCAGGTCAAATATTTATGTGATTAAAAATGCGATTAATTAATTACAAAGCCTCTAATTAATTAGATTAATTTTTTTAATCGAGTCCCGGCCCTATTAATAACATAAAAATAAAAATCCTGTTTCCCTCAAACTTTGAGCGGCCCCCACTTTGAAAAACACTGCTATAGACTATAATATTTATGCGTCTTTGAGCATTAGGAAAAGCGCTATCAAACTAATTTATATGTACAGCAAGTTGTGCCAAACAAGACTGCACCCGGCTTCCTCTAAACGTTCAAATGTTGACCTTTGTTACTGGGCTGTCCTCAATTGTCTTGGTCTGATTTTACACACTAGCTTGAGGGATTCAAATAAATGTAAAACTGAATTCAAACTAATGATGATCAGATATTTGCTTCAAACATGGCAGTCCTTTCATAGATGAGCCTCATGTTGGGCCAGATTTTACATGTTAGACACTTAGTTGTATGTAAATCTAATCCTGCGAACAGGTCACGTAATGGCATTAAGGTACCAACAAATCTATACTTGGTCTGTTAACATGTAGGTGAGTGAATCTAGACTGTCTTTTGATCCCACTGTCATATTTTTGCACTAATGTGCTCTGACCATGAGTGGATTATGAGATTAGGCCCCACCACCTCTCCTACCTATGAGCAGTGCTATAGTTGGGTAGCTATTGAATGTTCCTCTAGTATAGTGCTCAAAGGCTGAAGTTGCATATCAGCCACATACCTTTACAGAGGCAGGCAACAACAAATAATGTGAGGTAAGCCTTGAGGGGTTGCTGAATGAGAGGCTTTTGTGTGCATCACTATATGCAAATTATCAACCACTTTCAAGATGTCAAGTGCAAGCTGTCTGGACAGGAATTGTCTACTGTAAACCTTGAGGTGTAAGAACATATTTGACAGTAAATCAGTGAGACAGTGCTTCAGCACAATATGCAAATTCTGAACCACTTTTATTGAAGCTGTCATGTGCAGTATCTATCGGTGACAGACAGGTTTATTAACTATGCTCTTTTATTGATGTGTTTTTGTGTTTGTTTTGACTCTTATTGTGAGTATGAATGTTTCTGGATGTGTTTTCTGCAATGGAAGTATTGTTAAAAGTGATGTTTATTTCTGCAATTATGATTTTAAATCAATTCTGGTTTTGATGGTGGTTTTATTTAGCCTATGCTTTAACAACATTCCAGTTGGTCTGTACTTCACACATTGTCTTGTTCTCTCAGACAAATGATTGATGATCTCTGAAGCAAGTCAACTAGTAATTAAGTCAAACTGACAATTGCATGGGAAGCAGATTTCAGGACCATGTGATTTATTGTTTTGTTTGTTATATATGCTAGTTGTTCTTTCCTTTTAAAAAGACAAATACAGCTTAATTTAAATAAGTTCCTTTATTGTAAGGCGCAAAATGTTCAGCATTCTCAACACATACAATACACAACAGCAACACAACATGTTCTTCAGTTATATGATGTCTCTAGATTATAAATTGTTTTAGACTGAACAAAGCTGTTTGTGTCACACTGGGATCAAAGATGATTGACATGACTTTATTAAATCAAGTTTTAAAACATGACTATTTTATTTCAACAGGACCCAAAAACACAAGGGGTATAAAATGGTAAATACATACTGTGATTGAACACAAAAACACCATCTATTATTGACCTTTATAGCAAATTCAAAATATTATAAATGATACAAAACACCACCTTTTAGTATTAGACAGAAAATAGGTGACGAGACATTCTATTTTTTTAGATTAGGCCACTGTGGTGAGAGTAATACATATAGCTTGTATTCCATTTGTTTTTAAAATGTATATTTATACTTTATAAACAAACTGGTTACACTTTTTTTAAATTAGCATACAGAACATTATGAAAACAAACTTGACTAATGATCGGCTCATAACCTCAGAACACAGAAGAGGAAAAACTGCATATATTCTCGTTTCATTTTTAAGGAGCTGCAGACCTAAAGTGTGTAGAAGACTTAAATGATTACAAAGGTCACAATCACATTAATAAAACTGTATTTAGGTTTTAGTTTCACTTTTACAACACAGAGTTCCACATGTACTTTCTAGCATGTATGGCCATCTCCTCACTAGCCCTATGCTGCTGCTCCCCTGCATAAAGGCTTGATGTTCATATAGAAACAGGGACTTGGCAAAAAGTCAAGTTAGCAGCACACCTAGGAAGTGAAGCCTACTACTACTACTACTACTACTACTTATTATCATAAATTACAATGTCATTACACAGAAAGCTTCACATTAATGCCTAGAATCAAAAGCATGCTTTAAAATGTGTTTAATTGATGCAAATGCTTTTACTTGCACTAATAATATTTACTTTGCTTTAAAGTATTCCATTTTATATTTCAGCATATCCCTTGAATGATAGCGTGCTAGAATGTTTTAGAAGAATTTGTCCAGATGGCAGACTTACTCCAAGCCCATACATGTCAGCAAAGAATGTACAGAATCAACGACTGACATGTCAAAACTTTTTTTTTTAACTTACATAATTGAGAACCAGTATTTCGTTTTTCTGTATCATGACTCTGAACATGGCAAACATGCTTAAGTTTAAAGACCTTTCACAAAAAAGCTTGTTTTTTTACAGCAAGGTATCCACCCACTAGATTTATACTGCAAGCATATGGCATTACAAATGCAACATCTTTGGTCAATTTATATTTTACTACTAGAGTGTGTATAAGACAGATTCAAGCAATAAAAGGTATGCATTAATACATAATTTCTATTTTCTATAGTTTGCACTGAAAGTAATGACCAATTCTGCCTTTTACAAAAGTAATTTTGGATTATTTAATCTCGTATCTGTTTTTCATAATGATGTTTTGTTGCTTTAAAAAATAAAATATCACTTTGTAAGAAATATTTTCATGTTTGGTTTGTAAATGTCTTTTTTTGTCCTCTTAAATTGTTCTTTGGGTGAGAGAGGAACACTCTTTGCCTGGGGGAAGTCTCTCTTATCCTATTTTCAAAATGGGTGGAGAAAGCATAACCAGAGCATTGTTCTTGTAAAATCCACTTTTAGAAAAATAAACTTAAATCTATTATACATACATTAAGAATGTATTGACATAACATGAATATGCTTCTTACTATTCTTAGATTTGACCAAAAAGCACTGCTTAAAATACATTTGAGTTTTATCCCAGCAGACAATGACCTTTTTTCTGCACTTTGTTGGTTTAAAAAAACAACGCATTCATAGCAAAAGATATTAGTAGGCTAGTAGTCTTAGTAGTATTTTACATTTAAGTTTCTCCACAGTTCACAACTATGTAAACAAGTTCCTGCACATCTACAGTAAACACATTGAGAACAAATAAGAGAAAGAACACATGTAACAGGAAGAGAATGTGTTAGGTGATATTTAATTGGAGGTGTTAACAAGATAACCAGTTTTTTTTCTGCCACAAGCCTCCCAGCCCCCTGTCATTTGGGCTTTTCTCTACATGCTATAAATTCTGGGAGGCAGGTCTGGTTGTAGCCTTGGGCAATACAGAGAGAATATAAGAGAAGTTAATTCTGCTGCAGAAACCAGACCTGGAACCTCCAAGTCTCATCTTGAAAGAAGCAGCAGTCGGTTACTTACAGCCATCTCACAGGTAACTATCTCCAACCATCTTTTAAACACAACACAGCTGTGCCATTTCAAACAAGACTAGCAATTCTCTTATTTTGTCTTTTTGTGTGTCTTTCTGAAGCCTCTTGTCAACATGCCTGGATCTGGATCATGCACCTCTATCATCAACCTGCGCTTCCAAGAAGGCAGCGAGGGAAGTCCTTCCAACCCTGCCAAGTTCAAGAACCAAGACTTTGCGCAGCTGAAAGATAACCACCTCCGCAGAGGCCGGCAGTTTGTGGACCGCACCTTCCCACCTGACAGCAGCTCTCTGGGAGACCTGCCGGACCTCAGCAGTCGGCAGGAAGCCCAAGTGAAATGGCTTCGACCAGCAGTAAAATACTTTAAAATATATTATATCATAGTACATATATTTAAGGTTTTTCTTATGTAAATGTTTTTCTTACATGCTAGCTCTTATCTGATTCACTTCCTCTTTGTTGTGTCCAGGAAATCCTGAAACAACAAAACAACTCCAATGAAGCTATTTTCTGTACCAAAGGAGCCACACGCTTTGACTTTGGTCAAGGCGCTGTAGGTGAGCAAGAAGACAACACAAAAAGAATACATATTTACTATGTATATAGACTTTTTGCACTATACTTTGTATTTTTTGTATTTTATTATATATATTGGATTGTTGAAGGAGCTCAGGTCATAAGATTTGTATCTCTGTAAGTATTTCTACACTGTAGCTTTGTGCATATGACAATAACATCTTTGAATCTTTGAAAAAAATCTTGTTAAGGAAAATATTTCACTTAATTTGTTCATTCACCAGGTAACTGCTGGTTTCTGGCTGCGATTAACTCACTGACCTTCCGCAAAGCCCTGATGGTGCAAGTCGTGCCTATGGATCAGAACTTCAACAACCATGCAGGGATATTTCACTTCAGGGTAAGGAATACTTTTCTGTAAGCGTCTTTAAACAATGTTTTCACAACTAGTCATCAGCTAACTTGTCCTCTTTTACTCGTCCTTTCTGTGTCAGTTCTGGAGGTTTGGCAAGTGGGTGGATGTTGTCATTGATGACTACCTGCCAGTAATGAACAATCAGCTGCTGTCTGTGCGCTCCACAAAAGGAAATGAGTTCTGGGCTCCTCTGATGGAGAAAGCTTATGCCAAGTATGAAACCCCCTCACAACACATGAAATACTACCTTAGCAAAATGGAGGCAACACACTACAGGCAAACACGTGTCTTAATTAAAGAAACTCCGAAAGTCTAATGGTGATATCTATTAGTTCAGTACATATTTTTTTGTATGGTGTACATTCACGTTGCATTCCTTTCTGTATCCTAAAGCTTTTACATTTATCACTTATAGTCAGATTTACATAACATTTAATTTTTAAGATGGTGAAAATGTAAAAACAGATGTAATAGCTGTTGACACTATTTTTATAGTATAGTATAGTAGATACACAATACACTATATACCCTAAATTCCCTCTCTAAAAAATGACTATTATGTCAATGAAACAAACATTTTTAATCTGGCTTTATCAGTGTTATAAGTGTGTTATAAAAGAATGAAAAAGTAATCAAGTGGTGAAGTTACCTTTCATACCTTATCCCTTTCATAGACCTTTTGTGTCCCCTAATCTCACCATGGATTATAGACGTCTTTTTTTGTTGTCTCCCTCAGGGTGTGCGGATCGTACACAGACATGAATGCTGGTTTGCCATCAGAGGCCTGCAAGGATTTCTGTGGAGGCGTGAACGTGGATTACAAACTCCAGGAAGTCCACTCTGCAGGCCATGATGACAAGCTGTGGAGATCACTGTCCAACGCCAGCAGCTGCAACTCCATGATCTGCTGCGGAACAGCCCAGAAAGGGGTAAGAACTCATCACTTTAGGGCAGAGAAGGGGTGGGGGGGCAATAAACATTCAGGTCACTGGTGTGATTTAACTTGTTTGTCTCTTTCAGGGTGTGTTGGTGAACACTGTATCCAACTCTGGTATTGTTGATGCACATGCCTATTCTGTCACAGCAGTCATTGAGGTAAGCTGAACATAGAGAATATTTTAAAATAAAAGTTTTTGGGGTTGCCTGCAATGTTTTGTTCTGATTGTGTCAATTTCTCATTTCCCATTAAGACGAACTCTCGCGGCTCCAAAGTGAGGCTGGTGCGACTCTTCAACCCGTGGGGCAGAAAAGAGTGGACCGGAAACTGGAGTGACAAGTACGTTCATTAATCATACATATGTACATCTTAAAGCAACAAATATAGCCTATACACTGAACTACAACTAATGACTTTGTATTTCTCAGGTCCGACATGTGGCAAAGTGTTAGCCCAGATGATCGGGAAAAGTGTGAGGACCGCAACGATGGAGAGTTCTGGTAAATTTGCCATATCAATGGAGTTTTCACACTTTTTTTATTTGTTACCACAGTAATAATGCAGAACCATGTGCTTTCCTGGTCATAAAAAAACTGCTCAGGGTCAAACACTTCAGAAGGTCTCTATATAGTGAAGCCTGACAATGAATCATCAAGAACAACATGTACTTTATTGATGAAGATAAACACACAGTAGAAATAAAGGCAATTTAGTCGTTTCAGTCCTTTAGTTGGATATCGACTGCCATTTTTGTTTTGTTTATGACTCCCAATGGTTGACATCTGGCCTTACTTTTGCATATCTTTCTCTTTCCAGGATGGATTTAGAGGACTTCTGTCGTCATTTCTCCATGTTGTTCATCTGCTGTGAGAACCCCAACTTTATCGATGGCGACGTCAACTGCCAGTGGCAAAGCCAGACTTACGATGGCAAATGGACAGCTGGGAGATCTGCAGGCGGCAGCTTGTCTAACCGTGAGATCAGATTTGTTTCCTTTGTGCAAGTGCAAAAAACCACCACACTGTCTCTGGAGTGTCATGTGACATTTTTCATGATTTTCATCGCCCGTAGGTTCCTTTGAAACAAACCCTCAGTATCGCATGAAGGTGAATATCATTGACAAGTCAGAGAAGGAAGACAAAAACATCGTCCTTACTCTGATGCAGAAACCTAGGCAGGAGAATCGCAAAAGGCAATCAACTTACCCAATTGGGATCAGCGTCTTTAAGGTTTGCATCCTGTTTTCTTTGGTTTATTAAATATTAAATAATGATTAAGTAGTACTCTGCATTTATGACTAATTTTAAAACTTGCATCTTTCCTCCCTTTTCACATCCAACAGATTCCACCAGGGGTAAGAACAAATATCACACTTTGCCTGTGCACTAAAAGCTCATTTCCACATTTAAATAACCTTTAGTTAGGAGATTTATACAACTAAATAAGGTTTATATTCTTCCCAGACAACATCGGGCCGCCTGAGTATCAACCAACTTTACCAATTGCAAAGACAGAAGGATACACAGATGTACACCTATGCGAGGGAGCTGGTTGAGATGCACAGCATGGAGCCTGGAGAGTATTTGATCGTCCCCTCCACCATGGATCCTTACCAGAGTGCAGATTTCATTCTAACCATCTTCTCCAAGACCGATGCTCAGATCACGTAAGGACTTGCTCATATTTCAGGAGACCTTTATACCAAAGCAAGAACTGCTCATTTCAATATCTGACCCATTCTTTGCTAAAATGATTGAAAGTAATACACCGTGCATATGACATGGTGATGCTCAAGTCACATCCATGGGGTATATTTTGGGGTAATTTGAGAATATAGTAAACTGAGGATAAGTTTACTTTCTACTTATTTAGAGGCTGTTATTTTACTAACCCACACCGAAATGTGTGTAGAAGTATCTGATACTAAATTAGCACTTAAAACAACTTTAAAGTATGCTAGTCAAAAGTCAAACATTTATTTTCAAAACATATTATTATAGATTTGTATTAACATATTCTCCTATGCATCCAGTCCCCATGATGAAGATGATGAGGATGAGAATGACCACGAGGACAAGAAGAAGGAGGAGGGGGGGGACCTAGTTCTTCCTGAGGTAAGAAACTAAAATAAATAGTGAATACTTTAGCTGCGAGTTAGAGAGGGCAAGTTTAGTTTGCCGATTTGTTGTCTGATTAATTAACTTGTCGTCTTTAGGTACCAACCGACAACAAAAAGCCTGAGGAGGAAACCTCCGACAACAAGGCTCTCCGTGATCTCTTCAACCGATACGCTGATCAGGTGGGTCATTTTTCTCACACATCCACCCGCTTGCCCATTTAAACCTTCTCTGATCTCAAACAATCATACTTTTTTCATCTTAGTTTGGTGAGCTGAAAGACAGGCAGCTCAGGATGCTCCTGAATGACAACTTCCCGCATGGTGAGTTGCTATCACATGTGCATTGAAAAACATTCAACATCCTAATTTATTTCTTGTGCATCACAGATTTTTCAGACCTGTTACTTTGAGTGTGTCTGTGTCTGTCATTCACAGGCACCTGGAATGGCTTTGGTTACGATACCTGCAGTAGCATGATCGCTATGTTTGATGTATCCTTTAAAGAAACAAATGTTTATCTTGTAAATAACAACACTAGAAAGTCAAGATTTAAATACCGATATGTAAGCACCAATTTTTTAAATGTCATCTGTCATCCGTTTATGATGAGACATCCTTAACGTGCAAAGGTCGACAAAAAAATGACAATGACCCTCGTTGAGTTCACATCTCTCTGGAAGAAAATAAATGAATACAAGGTAATGCAGCAAAAATGGGCACTAAACAGACTAATTTAACTTCATATTTATCAATCAGAATCAATATACTTGGAATGTATAATATTATATTCATTATTTCCCCAAGATTCTTCTCTCAAAATAGTAGACTCAACTTATTTCAATAAACCTAACATGCATGTTTAAGGTTCTAATGAAATTAAACATTGTTTTTGCAGCAACACTTTCATCGTGCAGATGTGAATAAGAATGGATCCCTGACTGACATAGAGCTCAAAGTGGCAATAAAGACTGCAGGTAACACTAGTTTCCTATTTAAATACTGTTAAAACATGTTAATAAGCTTCTACCCGACACAAAACAGACTTCATATTCGGGACATTAACAGCAGTACTTGTCCTTCTTTCCTTGTCTCAGAACCAGAGATTGACCTTAACAGCAGTGTGGTGAGGCTGATGACCTTCCGTTACTCAGGCTTTGAAGCCACCACCATGGAGGGCTTCATCTCATTCATGTTACGCCTGGGCAAAACAACAAGTGAGTGAAATGGCAACAACCAATCTAATCATTGTTAACAGTTTTGATACATTTTAATTCTATTTGTTCAGAATCAAGCGGGCACTAAGTCTAAATGCTGCAAACTGAACAGCACACCGCTTTATGACAAATGTGTGCACAGTATCATATCTTATAGGATATTTCTCTATATTATTTTATATAATATTATATATTAGGGTTGGCTTTGGCACAGTGGGTTAGAGCGTTGATCATCAGATCAAGGGGCGTTGGGGAACATATTTTCGAAACCCGCCTCGGCTGCCACTGTGTCAGGCCGTTGTGTCCTTGGGCAAGACACTTCACCCTAATTTGCTCCTGTGGGTATTGTCCACAGTAATAACTGTTACATGTCTAATATGTGTAATATATCGTGGAAAGCGCTTTGAGATCCTGGAAAAGCCCTCGAATAAAAATGTAATGAATTATTATTATATTAAAATGTGTTTCAATCTTATGTATGTCTGATCATCTTTACAGGTACCTTCAAGGACAAATCAACAGATGGAGTTATCAACTTGTCTTGGGAGGAGGCAAGTCTGTTTCCACTTAATGCCATTTATTATATTTCTTTCTCAAGGCATCAAAACACAAAAAGAAAAGCATAAATAATGACATAAAGATGTTAAGGAGTAACAAGTAAATATTTTACTTTGAAATAGTGTTTTAGTATATTAAGGGAAAAAGCTCAGTACAGTTCCTGAGTAAATAGTTCCACCACTGTAGTGTGTGGCTAACTATGTGCAGATACAAGTAATGTATTAAGGATAACGATGAAAGATTCTAACATTTCTAGAAACTGCCTTTCTTCTGTTTCAGTGGACCGAGTTCTCCATGTACAACTAGACTCAAGAGTACACAGAAGACACGAGAAGATTCCTACAAGCAAACGCTGCTTTAAGAGAATAAATGTCTTCCTGTGCAAAACCTGTAACATGTTTCTCTGATCAAATTGTGAAATAAACATTGTTGCCTTCTGAATCATGAGCTGAAATCTGAATTTGTGATCACATTTTAACGCCAAACTGTAACCGTGCAATACAAATAAAGGCGACAGAAGAAGGTGGACCAGAAATCATTTTATTAACTCATCACCGACTACATTGGAAAGATACAAAAACTCAACAAGTGTTCAAACCAGTGGCTCACATGTTGTTCTACATTTCCTCCACGTTATGTTTCTTATGTACATTCTCCTCATTCCTGTGTGTGATGTTACGAGGGGCTCTCCGTCAACACTCATACTTACAAGTCAGTGTCCTTATTTCACAATTATAAATCAGAACTCCATAAATGTAAGTCCCAAAGAAAGAAAGATATTACTTTCCAGTTCTCTCTTGTCACTAGAGGCCATCAGCACTCAGATGTTTGAATCAACCCTCTGCAGCGTAGTGGAGAGGCAATATATATATATATATATATATATTAAAAAATCGTCAACAAATCCAATGAAAGATTCAAATCAATCCTAACAATTCTGCATAGCCAAAGCCTGGCATAACTTAATATTGTCACAGCTACTTCTATTCTTATCCAAAGCTTCTTTTACATCAATAAGCAAAAATGTTCTACTCATTTTAATTGCTGTTAATACCCAATAGTATACCAAATGTACTGCAAATAGTTCTCATCAAATGCCCTTTTTACTCATGTTTGAGGAACATTTGCCAACAATGTAGGGCTGCAACTAATAATAATTGTCTTTATATATATCGATCATTTTCTAAATTAATCCTTTGGTCTATAAAATGTCAGGAAACTGTCAACTAAAGTCCTTCAGATTCTCTTAAAGTCAAAGGGAATGTCTTTAAATGTCTTACTGTATGTCGGTCCAACACCCAAAAACAAGTTATTTAATATTATTTAAAATAAGAGAAATACAAGAAATCTCCATATCTTATATCCTGACATTTTTATATGAAAAACTCCTTTATGATTAATTGATTCTCAAAATAGTAGTCAATGACCTTTCTGTTGATGGACTTATGGATAAGTTGACTTATCTTTGCAGCTCTACTACACTAACCAATAACATTAGGACATCATTGAGCCTTGAAAAGAAAATCTGTTTTTGGTAAACAGGGCAAAAGTATTGACAAAAGAGGACACTCACTTATGTAGGTTTTGATCTTTTCATTTGATTTGTTGAGAAATAAATGACATTTCATTAGCCTCATCCTAGTTATTGAGATAGAGTTGATTTGAAACTCTTTGCTGCACAGCTCTCAATCCTCCTCCTTCTCGATATACGTCTTACAGGCCGAGCGTTCCATCTGTCTGGCCAGGTATCTCTCTCTGGCCGTACTCACAGCCTGATCCGTGCTGCGCTTTGCAAACTTGTTTCCCTTCTCCTCCGTTGTTTCCTCTTTCCCCTCACCTTCCTGATTCTGTTCGTCGTCTTTTTCCCCTGTGTCCTCTCTGACTGCTTCCTTCTCTTCAGGATCTTTTTCTCCCCCCTTCACTTCTTTCTCCTTTTCTGCTTCCTTCTCTTCAGGATCTTTTTCTTCCCTCTTCACTTCTTTCTCCTTTTCTGCTTCCTTCTCTTCAGGATCTTTTTCTTCCCTCTTCACTTCTTTCTCTGCATCTTTTTCTTCCCTCTTCACTTCTTTCTCCTTTTCTGGTTCCTTCTTTCCCTCCTTCTCTTCTTCCTGAACTTTGTCCTTTCGCTTGTCTTCATCTGGATTCCTCCTCATCTCTCTTTCCCCATTCCTATCCCTCTCTCTCTCCCTAGGGCTCCTATCCCTCTTCCTGTGCCTGTCTTCCCTCTCTGTATCCTTTCCTCTGCTTCTGTCATCATCTCGGCCTCTGTCTCTGTCTCTCCTTCCGTCCCTGTCGTCTCTTCTTCCTCCATGCCTGTCATCCCTTTCTCTTCCCCTGTCTCTGTTTCTATCTCTATCTCTGTCCCGTGCTCGGTCTCTGTCTTGATCTCTGTGGCTCTTCTTATGTCTATCTCTTTCCTTCTCTCTCTCCTTCTCCTCTGTGCTCCCCGATGAAGGTGACCTCTGTCTGTATTGACGTTTTGAGTGTGCGAGGCCTGCCCCAGGCTTGCTAAACCCAGCTTGCTGCTCATTTCCCTCCTCACTGTCGCTGCAGGAACTTGGGATATTGTCATGGGATGTAGATGAGGGAACAGGTGACATCCTCTCCGTGTCTTTTGAAACCTTGGAGTTTTCAGTTCTGGGGAAGTACAGAGAGATACAAATAAAGGTTCAGACACTTTCTTTTTAAATAATGTGTGTGCTTGTCGTGTTTATGGAGGATCAAGTAATGTGGATTAATGACTGACTTGATTTCCGAGCGATCAGGTATCGCCTCTTCTCCTACTGTCTGATTCAACAGGTGCCGGTAGAAGCCGCTCAGGTCTTTTTGTTTCTTCACGTCCAAAGCCGCTAAACAAACAAAAATAATTCAACAGATTATTTAAATTGTTCCTAAAAGTGGCCTCTTTTCAACAATGTTTTAATCCTGTTTTAGTTGTGCTCTAAAGTAGGAGATCGGTTTTTTGGCAGCACAAATCTTTTTACAATATCCAGATAACAAAAGGTTGCTATGGGCAAATCCAATTTAACATACATGCTGATGTTGTTTTGAAAGTTTTACCATATCATTAACAACAAAATCTTCTCTGCCTGCATCTACAAAACAGTAATGAAGGATCAGTCTAACCTTCCATCGCCGCCACTCTTTTCTCTTTCTCCAGCTCCTCCTTCTGCTCCAGCAGTTTTTGCTTGTAGGCGGATGTAACGTAAGCGTCTTTATCAGCAAACTCTTCTCCCTCTGCTTCTCTTTCCTTCTGGATCTTCCGCTCATCCCTTCGTTCTTGTTCTTTCTTTCGGTCCTCGACTGCTCTCAATAACTGGTGGATGTATTTTGGCTGTAATAAAAGACACACAGGCAAAGTTGTTGATGTTCAGGAAGAAGGTTAAAGGTAGGGTGGGTAAGAATGGAGAAGCCAGCTCGAGTGCGCTAGAATTTGAAAGTACGCAGCCGAAAAAAATCTGCCCCTTCCTTCAGACTTCCTTACAGAGTCCCTCCTCCAACACACACCAACGCGCACATGACCAATGAGGGCACGAGATAAGTTTGTGCACAGATGGAAGGCTGACAGGCAGGTACTGTAGGCCATCCAGTTACTTTAGCCAGGCCGGCTAAAATGATTGGTCGTGCTTTTTACAGTACCACGGCTTCCACAGATGACATTTTTTAATGTATTTAAGAGCATTCCATGGAATATAACAAAAAGTGTTTCTGAAGTGAATTACCCACCCTACCTTTAAGTTCACATTTTAGCTTTTTTTATTCACCAGTAGGTGTCACAATTGTTTTAGCAAAGTGCATGCTGGGCTGTCTTTCTGACCATTACATCAGAAATCTCAGACATGACAAATGCAGCTATAAAAAGTGTTGAAGATAAATGAAATTACCTTTTTGTCAACACCTCCCAACATTTTTTTTTTGTTGTCAATTCTCTGTTTTTGAATGTCATCGTACACAGCATCGTAGTCATATACAGTGCTGTCCTCTTGCAGGGCTTTATGCATCTCCAAACGTGTCTTTGGACAGAGAGGGAGAGAAAAAGAAAAGGGAAATGTAAATCACACAACAAGGGAATAACGGTTTGTTGAAAAATCACGTCAAATGCCTCCTTTTACCTGCTTCATCATTTTCTTTTTGACAGCTTCTTTCTGAAGACTCTCCCCAACAGTGGTCTAGGAAACAAAACACATTTAGTATATTTGGACATACGTCAGCTGGAAAGCCAATGTTTTTATTTTTTATACATTTCTATTGTCCTGCTTATAAAAATGCAAAGGTGTATCTACCTCATCATCGGAGTCATCCTCGAACACTGAGTGTTTCTGCACAGTCTTTGACAATCCTTTCCTCTGTGACAAGACGAGTCCATACCTGTATCAGGAAACAAAGCTTTTTAAACCCTTTCATACCAAAGTCATCTGTACATTTATTCCACATGCAAGTTGTATTTCCATTACTGCTACACTGCATACCTAGCATTATAATTGTTCTAAATATTGTTATTTTTACTGCACCTCAGAGTTAGTTACTTTGCAGATTCCGTTTGTATTAGGGATTAAACTATCCAGCAGTGTAGAACGTTTTGAAAAGGAGCTCCACCTTTACTAGTTAAAAGATTAAAGTGATGAACACACAATACAATAATATTATAGATGTATTTATTATTCTCAAATGTGTCATCCATTATAAATATAATGAGGACTAGCCTACTTGTCCTGTTTAAGAGACAGGTGACTTTATGCAAACATACGGTTACACGACTATAACATATGCGGAGTCTCATAGTTTTAATTATGTTAGCTATGAAACTCTTCTTGACAGTTTTTGAATTGGTTCGGCATAAACCATATTTTATCAGCTCTTTATACTGGCGTGGCTGCATTATTAGCGAGGTTAGCATAACGTTAGCATATCGGTAACTAGCTTCAGGAGCAGCAGGGGACAAACCACTGTTTTCATCAATAATCCTCCACTGTATACCTAGAGCTGCTACATAAATTAAAGCTCTTTATCAAAACTATATCTACAACCCTGACAAAGTGAACCACTCGTCTCTTAATGTTAATCACACAGTAGCTAATCAAGTTAGCTTGGTCTTTACTCACTGTTTTGTAGGGAACGCCATCTTGCTCTGCTGACTGTGAACGGGTACGACAGATTCGACACAATATTTTAGATCAGTCAATCATGTTAACTTTTGCTTTGTTTGATTTCAGTAGCTTTTCAAATGTAGCTACCGTATACATTACCGATATTTTTTTGCATACATTTATATACATTAATTGCTTCGATTATGTTTTCGTCAGGTCTTGGGAATGTGCAAACATCTATAGATTGAAGCAAGATTGATGAACAAAATATGAATGATCTTTTATCTGTGATTTGTACAATATGAGAATACATTTAATATACCGTGATATTAAAACCATAACACATATCACTGT